CTTTTCGGACACTCCCGGTAGGTTTCGGTTTAATAATAGAGTGCGGTGTACCCGTTCCCTTCGAAATATCGTTCTCTATAAATTCCGCCGTTTTCGCACGTTACCCGGTAGTTGGACCGAGACAGCAGATACGGGCGTAACGTCCTTTCAATATGCCGGATTAGTGCCTATGCATATAACGCTAATGATAATACGCAGTTAGGCGCTGGTTTTCTCGGGGCCCTGGACAATGTTTTAGTACAACTGAAGTATTCTCTGGGCTGGTGTCGCCGGTTTCCGCCAAAAAAACGACCTTTCCGTTTTCCGCCGGTTATAAATTATAGGACTTTAACGTTTTGGAAACCCCTTCGCCCGGATTCTTTGTCTAGTAAGTAAAACGATGTTATTCACGTTCACCCATCAAATGTGAAAAACTCAGAATCATGTTTTTCGTTGGCAATGGTTTATCGTTGCTTACAGGCATACGTTAAATCCTCTTCTGTATCCTACCATACCAACTTCCCACGTACAACAGTGTCTGCGCACCCGTCCCCATTATCCCAGCACAGCTACACGCGGTTTTTTCAATAATTTTCTATTAATTATTTTCGCGGACATGGCTGTAGCCGACGCGAACTCGACTCGAACACAGACAGTGAATATGAAAATAGTTCCGACAAATCGAACAAATTTCCGATCTCAAATGCACACTAGCCATTAGTTATATTACGGACGCATAAAAAACCCGCAATTCAACATATGCGTGATATTAATTGTGTTACACGTTATTAACTGATAACTATGCGCTACGATAAAATTACATTATAGAAAAGAATATTATGAAACAAGCAGATAAAGGGGTTCCCAAACGTCGAGATCATATAATTTATAACCGACGGAAAACGGAAAGGTCATTTTCGGCGGAAATCGGTGACGCTCCCCGGTTGTTGAATCCAGACGATTTTTCTGGGGGACGGCGGGACATTGTTAAAATTATAATGACGACCTTTGTTGTTATTATTTTTCTTTCTTCTAATGTACTATTATTATGACCAACGCGATTCGTTTGATTGTTAATTTACCCACATTTAACGGTGGGTGGACGGGTGGACGGGCGAACCGAATGGATACAACCCGGATTGAACACTGCGTCCGGGCCCCGGCCCGTTCTGTTATAATTAAAACAAAACGGCTAATGATTATCGCATACGCTTGCGCGGGGCCCTGGACCCGCGTTCGCCCTCCCCTAGCGCCAACGCTGATAATGCGCGTAATTACGTTATAACGGTGATGCGGACGGGACGGCGTTCGAGACGCGGCGGCCTTTCCCGTCGTTACAACAACAATAACGATAATGTTTAATGGATTACGATAAGCGGGACGATGATGATATTATGATGACTGTTACAAATAATATTGACACGGCGGGCGCGCGGGAATTTCGGTTCAAAGTTTACCACGACGCCGGAATGTGGCGCACAATGCCGTCCGGCCGTCGGCGTCGCGGCGACGTTTCGATTCGCCGTCGTTTCGGCGGCGGGAAAATCCGAAACGTCGGATGTCGTGGCGGCGGCGGCGGGAGAGCGGGTCGGCGGTGGCTGGACGGCGATCGTGTTATTCGCGTTTAATTATTATTGATTCGGTACCGTCCGTCGTAGGCGCGCGTTAGAACATTATCGCGACGCGTTGCAGCGATAGGTGTGTGTGCGCCCGCCGTCGTACGGTCGCCTCGCCTTATCACTCATCCGATCTCTCCCCGCTCTCTTTCCACCGTCTCCGTAACTCGGAATATTATCGGTTCCGACAAATTTTTATCGTATCGCACGCATACACGTACACGAGTACACAATATAAATACGCGCGTTCTACGTATACCATTACTGTTATCAATACGATTATTCTACGTTTATCGCATTATTATCATTATCATTATTATTATTATTATTATTATTGCTGTTAATCTGTTCCCGCATCTATATTATAGCGGTCTTGGATGGTATCCGGTCGCGGTCGTATTGTAAATGTGTCACGCGCACATTACGTATCGGGCTCTGGTTGTCGTTTGAATACGTTTTCGTCCATAAAAAATTATCGTTATTATTGTTATTATTATTATTATTAATTCTATACGCCGCCGTCAGCAATCCATCCCGTCATCGGATACTGTATACCTGGATTATTATGTTCGCCGCGCACCGTAAGTCGATTTTTCACATAGTATTTTTCGTTAAACCCCAAACCCAAACCCACCCCACCTCACCCTCCCCAACACCCCACCCCCGTCGCGAAATTATCGCGTACCAGCGATTTCGCGTCGGATCGATCGTCTCGTACGCACAACCGGGTGCGTCGTGGCGTGGCTGTGACCGGATCGACCGAACGCACCGAACGTATCAATGTCGATCACCGAGATTGACCGGTTTAGAGATCGGATTTATCGGTGTGCGTTGCACTGTTAACCGCGTACAAGTGTGTCCGCTCGGTTAATGTAGTCGAGTAAAGTTTTTTCGCCGCGCAGACATTACGTGCGGTTCGCGTAAGAATCCGCGTTTCAATTGGGTGGATCCGGATTTTTTTCGTGTTCCGCCTCAAGCGTGAAAAAACGTTCAGCACGGCGCCGCGTCGTCGTCACCCACTGTGTTATTATGAAAAAAAAAAAAAAAAAAAAATGCAAAATAAAAGTTACGTTTCTTAATTCCTTGGTGTATGAAACGAACTTTATGCTCGGAAAGCACATGTCCACTGACATTCACGCTGAAATGCAATTCGCATTCAAATCCGTTCCCCGGTAATAATGATATTGCGACGTAGGATCTCTGTCCATACGCATCGTGTTCGGGATAACGTGCAATAATAATTCGCGTTATTTAATTATAACGATAATGTTATTCACGGTGTTTTCCACGGCAGCAACGTAAGTCCTAACTCGAAATCGCGGATATAATGTATTGCTGCATCTGTGACAACGATAGTTTTAGTATATTTGTTATTTACGCGAGTGCCCGTGGATACCCGCGAGTAATGGTGAACTAATTTGACGGACATTAAACGTAACGGCACAACCGAAGTTTCAGGTTAAAACCGATTTAAATTGCTAAACTGTACCTCTTGATTATCGTGTTGGGGTTGTTTTTTTTTTTTTTTTTCACGTTAACATTCGCGTTTGTTTACGCGGTTTTCCAAATCATGCGTATCATTTTTGAACGTATATTGCAACACAGGAGTATAATGACGGCGTAACAAGGAGGTGATGCCCACCTAATTTGCCGCTACATTTCAAAAACCGTCGCGCACAATTATTATTGTTTTGTGCGATACTCTGCGTTGCGGTGTTTATAAATCCGTGAAAAACTGATACGATTCTGTTTTATCGCGTTATTACAGCGTTTTCAAAAACAATATTATTGTACCATTTCGAAAACGAATTGTAGAAAATGTTCCGCAAACGGCGGCGCAATCTATCGGGGGGGGGGGGGGGGATCGACTATCCCACCGCCAACAGCAACCCCCCCCCCCTCATCCTCCCTCACCGCTCCATTTCAAGGACGGGCGGGTCTCGTAAGGCTATAGGAGTTTTCGTTGTTTGATTGAAAGGGCGAGGCTAGGTAGTCAGTAATCATTTGTCGGTTAATTATTAATTACGAGTTTACAATTGATGTTGAGAACTGTTTGGTATCAGTGCGCGGACAATCCCTTATCGATGGACGGTATGCCGGTACCTATTATACGATTTGCACGTGACGAATAGCTTTTTGAGCATCGAATTTTCGAAAACAATTTAACAACGGGTTCGGTAAATCGCGAGACTGGGTTCGCGTTTTGTGCGGTTTTGAAATTCGATCGTTCGTTTCATTTTCAACGTCATATTTTACGCTATTTTTTGTGTTTTCACACGAATCGCGTATTTTCAATTTACGCGTACTGTATTATACTTATACGTAAGAATTTTAGTTTTAAAATATTTTACACAAGCTGTATACTAATATCAAAGTACCTATGCAACGTTCGATTTGTCACGGTTCGATAAAAGTAATCGCGGTCCTTGATTGTGATATATCAATAGTGAATTTCCAAAGTATGCAGATAGCTATAAACGATTAGGTTATTTACGCAATGTCGTTTAGTAATCTAGTGGTTTTAGGGATTTCAAATGCATTTATAAAACCGTTTATAACGCATTTGTCGGCTTTTCGTTTTATACTGCTTTTTTTCTTCAGATTTTAGTTTAATTCACATTATTGTTTAACACAATGGTTCCCGACCGTTTTTGTTCCACGCCCCCTTTGTACATTTTCAAAAATCTCATAACCCCCCCCCCCCCCCCGCCGCCGCCGCCCTCATATTAGATTAGAATATTAGCGTTTAGACGAACATTTTCGTTAGTGAACCGTACAAATAAATTTTACAAAATAACTATGTACGGCACTGTACATCATACAGTAAAAAATTAATTTATCGTTTTTAATTTTACTGATTGTAAAACGGCATAATTATTTTAACGACAAAATTCTCGGTTTTTCATCGCCGCCATATTATATACCCCCCTCCCCCAAGTGCGGTATCTGAATTCCCCCCCCCCCCCGGGTGATAATTCCCTCCCGGTTGGGAACCACTGTTTCATTACAACGTCCACATTATTCTAAACAAATATCTCGTTACATAGTCAATGATCGCCCGCACGGTACGGATTATGAACTTCGCGCCACAGCCATTATTTTAAAGTTGATGTTTTCGTCGGTCTTTAAGTACAAAAAATCGTTTACTCGCGGTGATACATTCTACACGTAATGCGTTCTTATTTGAAAACGACATTTTGGTGTAACAAATATTTACTAACGACGAATCGTTCAGTTTCTCCGATTTTCCAAAGCTATCGACAATTCGTTAACGAAAATTACACCTCACGGACAATTCGTCGAATCGATTGATATTATTTAGTAGTGACGACGAATACAATTTAGATTACCGTTAACTTCGAAAAATCGTAGACAATTAATTGTTCGTCATCAGTGCATTTTTCGTAAGACAAATGGTTTCTAAAATAATTTGATTTTTAATGCACACATATAATAACGGAATCACGTAGCGCAAGGCACTGGTAGTTAATTGTGAACGAAAAAAAAAACCACTTACGAAATATTGAACAGAACAAAAGTTATTTCTCGTGTCATCCGTACAATGCAATTTTTGTACGTACCGATTATCGGTGATATTATAAATATCCGGTACACGTACCTGTGCAACACGATTTTCGTGTATCGACAATGTATAGATAAAAATATATACATCGTTTCGTTTTTTTTGGATAAATACGTTTTGTCGTATCGAATGATTTCGATATCGTTTTCCTTATCCGATAAGCCGTGCAATATTGTTACGTGGCAAATCTCGGTTAAATAGGTTAATAAAATGTATCGGCACGCGGGAAAGTATGCGATTTTGAAGTCCGCGGTACACGGACATTATCCAATCGTATCGCGCGCGTAAATCAACAGTTTCCGGTACACGCGTTTGAAATCGCCACGCACAAGTATAATTCGTCATAGAGCGCATTTTGTTTTACAATCGATTTTCACGCGCGCGCACCGCGCACTGAGCGGCGTCGAAATCATTGAAAATGCAGTCGGGCGCGTATCCCAAGAGCCCCATTCCTCCTACCACTCGTCCACCCTCACCCCCGCCCGGCTCTTATTACTTAACGCGGCCCGGTTTTAAGGCCGCGATTTCGGTAAGCGCGCGAGGGGATCGGGGGGGGGAGAAGGGGACGGTGAGGTGGTGTTTATTGCCGAAATGAACGAAACAACAAACGAAATAATATCCGCCGTCCGGTCCGACAACCGAAGTTTGGCCGAAAACGAAAGACGGCGGTGCCGCGTTTTCGGTTTTCGGTTTTTTTTTTTTTCTAAATAAACAAGTCGACCGTAACGTGTCAGAGTTCGGCGCCGCTGCACACGCGCACGTACAGCGCGTACCTATTAATTACGATATCGTACGAGGAAAATGTTAAGACTCGGCGAACATTGCCTACAACGATTGTATAATATATTATGTTCGGTTGAAATGTTCATTCGGACTAAATTCGCTAATTAAACAGTATTATTATAATTAATGAGATATAAACGCTGCCGATAAAAAAATATTACAATAATTATTATCGATGTTTTACCGACGTTCGAATGTGCGCGCGCGTACGCGACGACGGCGAGCGTGCCACGTACGTTATTACTGCGATATAATAACAATTAATAGCGCCGTTGAAATTCGATAAATCGGTTTTAATGGCAATGCGGAAAAAAAAAAAAAAAATTAAAATTAAAATTGAAATCGTTATTTAATGTGGCCGCGTATAAAGTTTTACGAGGCGTTCTGAATCGGTTCTCGGACAGTGTACCCGTACAATAACGGACGTGTGTTGTTGGCGTGTTTTACGCGGCGCGGGTGTGTGCAAACTCCTCGTTGATCCTTCACACTGACGAATGTCCACCGTGATAATTACGGTATCGAATTGATGTCCTCCGCGAGCCTACGCGCAATATCTCGTACCGTCCGTGGACCGCCACCCCCCCCC